AGTCATGAAGATCCATCCAATTTAATCAATTGTAGGTTTTGAATGTATTTTTTAAATTAATAGAAGAGTTAAATAAAAGTGTATTTATTAAGTAAATAAATTACGAATAAAATTAAGTTTACTTTTTCATTCCATTCCCATTATCTTTTAAATAAAAATTGATTTTACTTTTTTCTTATTTAACTTATTTTTTTTAAACAAATTATATTAAAAAAATTAAGTGTCTTTTTCACTTTTAGTTTGATACTTATTTTAATATACGATTTCACGTTATTTTTTTTATTCAAGTCTTCAAAATCTCGATTATGAATATATTTTATTTCTAAATATTTTAAAGTGTATTTACAAAGGAATATATATCAAGTAAGGGATTGAGCTTTAAACCAGGCCAAAAAACCGTCCAATAATCATGAGTAAATTCACATATGAATATACATGCATTATAATAACTAGTTAAACATATTTGTTAATTTGAAAACCCAGTTAGAAAATGTGAAAAAAATATATCGATACATATGTATATATGTCAATTAAATAGAATACAATGTCTTTTTATAATTTTTACAATTCATTTTTTATTACAATTTAAATATAAAAGGTCGATTTATTTTATATTTTTAGGTTTTAAAATAAAATATATTTAATTGTAATTAGCAAATTTGGTTCAGATTACATTATGATTTTTTTTTAATTAACAAAATGCTTAATAAGAGTCGTGGAATTGAATTAGATTAATGGTTAGAAGGGTTTTCTTTATGTTTTTTTTTATATAAACTGGAGCGTGATAAATCAAAATTTTATGAAAAGCTAGAAACATTATATTAATATATTGATAGCAATTCATGTTAAACATTTAAGGTTAACAAAAATTAAAATAAATTAAGTTGAAATGTTTAAATATATTAACAAATTCACTATACAAATGAAGAGTATCAGTGAGGGAAAATTCTCTCGCAAATCTGTCATTAAAAGGGTCTTCCATCGCTGATAGTCCGTCGGTCAAAAACTCGTAGGTAATGCTATCAACGACGGATTTGCGAGGGTTACTTTCAGCGACGGATCAACAAGAGAACATATTCGCTGATTTTCATCGCTGATACCTTGTTTTCTAGTAGTGATTAACCTATTTAAACCTCTATTAACAAAGTGTTTTAACACACACATATATATTTTATGAAAAGCTAGAAACATTATATTAATATATTAATATCATTTCATGTTAAACATTTATAAGGTTAACGTAATTTAAAATAAATTAACTTGAAATGTTGTTTAAATATATTAACAAATTAACTTATTAAAACCTCCGTTAACAAAGTATTTTAACACACACATGATTTTAGGAAAACACAAGAACGCCACATCACATATTCATATGTGATACTGTAGTCTCATCATATTGAAAACAGAGATACGGACGACCTTGGTGCGAGATAGGTTGAGTGCCAAGTCGCCTGCACATCATCAGGTTCTCTCACGTGTATTATCATATGTAATATAGGTCTTTTTGCGTTTTCGTAAAATGACGATGTTCTCGTTTGAACCAACCTTTTATATATGTGTGTGAAACAATACTTCAAATCGTTGCATTTGATGATAAAATATAATGTAAAAGAATATTTTGAAACCGATTCTCACAGGTTGTAACTTTTTCGTGATTCTCATTTGACTCTTGTATGCCATGATTACGACACTTAAAAAACTTAGCGTTTTGCTGATGTTAATTAGGATGAGATATAGATAGAGATGTATTATTTTTCTTTCTCTTTTATTTTTTCCCTTCTCTCTCAAGAACCCAAATAAAAATATTTCTTTCTTTCCCTTTCTTTTATTTTTCATCCCTTTTCTTTTCTTCTCAAATTTGATAACATAGTGGAAACGATATGATCAGAAAGGTAGAAAATTAGGATTATCTCACATGTTAATTAGTCATTTATGTCTTAATTAAAACTAAATAAAAATGATGTAGTCTATATGATACTTGGATTACAAAAATATGATTGCGGTTTGATGCAGTTTTAAGATTTTCCCAAAATGCAAACAACACCGCATATGCCTACAACCGCAAAAAAATCGCATCACTTTTGTTGCGGTTTATGTGGTTTGAAGAAAATCTTCAAACTGCAAACTACACCACCTATGCTTCAAACCGCACCATCAGTGCATTATAGTGTGGATTATGCGATTTGTGTCTAACAACTATGACACTGATTTCTTGATTGCAAATTTGCAATACCCATCCTCTGAAACAATTTGAGAAAGCTTTGAATTCAAATTACTCCATGAAGATTCCAAAGCCCACCCCGTCTTCTTAGAAAAAGTTCATTTTTAATGGCCCATTGTGTAAGACGTTTTCAACTTTCAAGGCCCACCAGAGGAAAAGAAACTCTCGCCCCTTCCGCCCTTGCATTCAGCAGTCGGCACTCAGTCACCGGAGACTTTGCCCTGTTGCTCACAAGCATGATGCTTGTATAACTCGGAGTCTCTGACCATATCATCAAGATCTTTCTCTGTAAGTTGCAATTAGATTTTTCTAGGGTTTCGGAACTCTCGCATCAAGATTCTTGCATCCTCGAGACTATATCAGATTCTTACTGGCAATCTGGTATTTTTTTTTTTGCTTTTGTGTTGAAAATGTTAACTCTCAAGTGTTTGCAAATTGTTGGAAGTGTGTGTTTATTTTTCTTTTCTGTTGACGATGAAATTTTAATTGTTGGTAACTTGGTTGTGATTATATTCAGTATTTTAGTGGAGGAGGCATCAATCAAAATATCTGTTAGTTTAATTCTTATAGTCTTCTACAGACCGAAGTTTTGCCTAAGTTTCTGTCTAAGTGTTAAACACGAAGTGATGGTGAATTTGCCCAAGTGTTAAAGTGACAATGAATTGAAATTACTAGGATATTTGACAATTACCAATGTTTGCAAATTGTTTAGGATATCTGATAACTATGGATAAGTTCACTTTTGTTAATAAATGGAAAGTTAATTGGTTGGATTCAAGTAATGCCTATAATTCTAAACAAAGTCGTGTGGAAATCAAGTTAGTAGATCTTCCCTCAGACCCTGGTATGTAGATTAGGATTTTGAATTACAATCCTAATATCCGAGATGAAGTTTGAAGATCATATCTCCTAAAAGGGCCTTGCCAACTTCGAACCCACGAATATCCTTGCGCTCTTTTTGGGAGTAAACAATGAAGATTTAACCATGTCTAGTTTGATGAATATCCTACTTGGCTGGACTATAATGTAAATCAAAATGCTGCATATTGTTTGTGTTGCTATCTCTTCAAACCAAGTGTAGGAGCACAGGCAGGTGGTGACTTATTTATTAACTTAGGATTCAAAAAACAGTCGAGGAAAGGGAAGTTAGGAATTCATGTTCGAAACGTTAATAGTGCTCACAACAAAGCTTGGGCCAAGTGCAAAGCTTTGTGCTATCAGCAGCTCATTTCATTATCATTCTCATAAATATTGCCACATTTTCTCCCTTTTTAACACAAATAAATCCTTAACAAAGCATAAATAAAATTTAATCAAGTACATCAGAAACCACAAAAAAAATGAGAAAGAAGATAATCACAAGTGATGGTGTTGAAACAGGAGTTGATTAAATGTATCCTTATTAGAAACTGAAATAGAAGTCCAGATGAAGAAAAAACCAGTACGTTTGAATTAAAAAGAATGCTCTAAATGTTTACAGTTGGTTGGGTTGCTGCATTTGTGTTATTTTTTTTTTGATTAACTTGGATATCCAACTTGCTATGCAAGCCACCTAATCCCAGGGCGACCGCCTGCTTTGCAGATAGTCAGGAGTCACCGCATTTGAACCTCCGTGGCCACAAGGGGATTTGTATTCCACCTTGGATTTGAACCTGGGACCTCTATGTACTTTTGACCTTTGGAGCCAAGCTCAAACCAACCAGGCACCACCCTTGTGGTTTGCATTTGTGTTTTCCACACTAGCAGAAGTTGTTCATATTGATCCTCAAGCCACCATTCTAACACAGTGGCACTAAGAGCTTATTACACTATTCTGATCTACGTTCGGGCTGATAACACGCATTATGCATTCTAATAAATGGATCATGCCAAATAAGAAAGGCACATAGTTGAAACTCTTCTGAACAAACTGAACACTTTCCACTCACACTGAAACTGTAACAGTACTGAAATAAAGTTCATCTGGAAACCGTTCTGGAAATAAAGTTTAGCTAAACTTTCAATGCTAAAAAACTGTACAGAAATCACTGGAAAGACTAAAATTTCTGAAAATGACTGGAAAAATATCAAAACAACTACTACCAATCATTGGGCTCCCTAGTGATTACCACTCTGATGGAAGGTGAATGGTCTCCAGTAGGTTGTGATGGTCATTGCTGCAAAAACTGACGACCATACTCTGATGCCAACCCATAGTACTCCGCTGCTACACCTCTATAAAACTGGTATCTGTCCTTGATCCTGACCCTCTGTGGTCAGGTAGCTATACGGATATCCCTCCCGTACAATCAACACTTCATCTTCATATACACGCCCTTATCTCTTAGTTCATCTAGGCATTCTTTATTGTCTCGGGAGGTCTCTTTACTTGACTCAAACTGGGTGTACAAGGAGGATACTTCTCTCATGGTTCTCTCTTAGGCTCGAGCATTGGCAAGCTGGGGTTGCGGCTCAGGTTAGGACTAGTACGACGTTTTAAACTATCAGTGCTTCTGAAGTTAGGGCTGCCTTGGCGGCTTCTACTTGGGCTTCCTTAGTGGCTCGTGGTTCCTCCCTGGGCTTACTCTGGATGGATCCACGACCTAGGGCGCTACCGGCTCCTCCCCTGACATAAGACATGTATGGATAGTGATCGTCTTTCCTACAAAAAAGGCCATATAATTTACGGTTCAGATATTAAAATCTTCTGGTCCTTATTCTTAACAGGCTTTCGGTTTAAGCTGAGGCTAATGGTCATAACCTAACTCCCTTAAACCATTGTTCTGATATCAACTTGTAACCCCTTCATTCAAACGATGAAGGATTTACAACTACTTTTCTTTCAAAAATTCAAATGATTCGAACATTAATAATGACTTCAGCTACAAGCACCGAAAACATCTTAGATTCTCACCATTCGGAGCTGATAACACTTGCAAAATAGAAAGTTTGTCCCGTACCAAACTAGTTTTTCATGATTTCAGTTACTTTACTAGGAAATTACCTTCTTAAACAAACCAATCCAATTGGCTCAACTACTAATACAACCTGTAATTTTCATGCAATGTAGGCTGGTCCGATCCAGTAACTAGCTCCGTATAGCTTCCATTTCCATGGTATATTCCTTGCTCATATTTGACGATGCTGTTGTTTTTTTGGGTGAAGAAAGAGAATTATATTGATTTTAACAACCTTCAACGTAATTGAACATTGAACGAAACAATACAGAGAAGGACCTACACTGGACAACTTATGTTGATGTAAGATTGCAACCCAAATGGAGAATGATCTAATTAATGATGCAGTTGATGTGGCAGAAAGTTGACCAGGCATTAATGATGTGGAATACATTTTTCATGGCAATACATTAACGTGGCAAAATTGCTATTATCTCATTTCCAGCAAGCTCGTCAACACCACCTACATAATACCACCAAAACAAGAAGCCATGAAACCTCCAAAACAGAAAAAAGCACGGCAATTAGAAGAAAAACAAACCAAGCTCCATGATCCACATAGACCCATCATCAAAGACCTCCTCTGGTTCTCTCTCATTACTACATTCTTCAAAGTTCTTCTCATCCCAGCCTATCATAGCACTGACTTTGAGGTCCACCGTAATTGGCTAGCCCTCACCCACACCTTACCTTTATCTCATTGGTACGTTGATGAGACCAGCCCATGGACCCTCGATTACCCTCCTTTCTTTGCTTATTTTGAGAGATTTCTATCCCTTTTCGCGTCTCTTGTGGACCCCACCATCACAGACCTCTATAATGGCCTAAATTACAAAGCTCTTTCAGTCATCATCTTCCAGAGACTCAGTGTAATAGCCTCAGATGCAATATTGATTTACTCGATATACAAATTGACAAAGAACTTGGAGTCAAAGAAGAGGTTTTTGATCTGGGTTTTGGTTGTGTGGTCACCTGGGTTGTTAATTGTTGATCATGTGCATTTTCAGTACAATGGGTTTCTTTTAGGGATTTTGTTGGTTTCATTGGGAGCACTGCAGAAAGGGAATGACTTGATAGGTGGATTTGTTTTTGCGATTTTGTTGTGTTTCAAGCATTTATTTGCTGTGGCTGGGCCAGTTTATTTTGTGTATTTGTTGCGGCATTACTGTCGTGGAGGAATTTTGAGGGGTTTCACTAAGTTGGTAACGATGGGAGTGGTAGTTGTGGCGGTTTTTGTGGCTGCCTATGGACCATTTGCGTATCATGGACAGGTAATATGTCTATCTCAACTTGTCATATTACTGTTTTTTATACTAGAGGTAACTTTGATCCCTAGAAATGTTGCTATTTTATTGTATGTTGGCTGATTTCTAGAATTCTTTCTGTTTATGATATGATTTTGCCTTGTATGCTCAGAGGAATCTATATTCTATGATTGTATTTTTACTGAATTAAATATAAAATTCTTGTGGATTTTAACCTGTATTTCGTAATGGAAGTGGTTTACCCGTCACCTCACATGCCAAAAGAGTTGAACGATTTCAAACTGATTATAATATATGCACACATATAGTCTCTACTTCTCCTTCACCTATAACAATTTATACTCATCAAGAATAAGGGTAGGTCTTCATTTTCTAAACACCATCATTTTATTGAATATTTTTGGAGTCATGGTATTGTTCCACAATGACTAGGAAGACCTTCAGTCTTGTAACATGTTTGATATTCTGGTTTGTTCTTTATTGTTATACACAACATGGTGAAATGTTGAACTATTTATCATTTAGCAACAACATATTCCTGTATCTTTTGCTGAGGGTCCAGTATCTTGATTGGCTCTTCCATTTGGAACCGGTTCCCTTCAAAAGTGAATCCCCTTGAGCGATTGAGCCTAAAGTTACTTATGGAACTTATGATCAAATCAAGCGAAATAACTTCTTGGGTTGTTCTACTAGGAAATTTTATTTAAGTAAATATATACATACACATTATATATCTACATGTCTGTGTCTCCATTTCAAATATATACATATATTTCATATATGTGTGTGTCTATCTATGTACACAGTCGTAGATTTCTATTTCAGTATTTATGTGGTTTTTCTCCAACTATTTTGTAAATCTTCAGGTAGTGAATTCTTTCTTCTCCCTTAAGTTTTTCTCCAAGCTTTTTTCATGTAAATTTTGGTATTCAATTGTCATGTTTAATTTTGTGTTTGTCATAACAAGTAAGCATGTCATGGTTTAATATTGCTCTAATCATAGAACCAATTGTAAGTACCCTTTCTGTTGAAATTGTTCCATTATTGTAATTGTGCCAAATCACTGATAAAATTTACTTTAATTCTGGTGAAGTCGATTAAAATTTTCAATTCTAGACTGTGGGAGTATGTATATAACTTCCTGATCATCCGAACTTTGTTATTATGAATCACTGTTGAACTGCGAAATAGTCAACGTGTATTTTTGGACTGAACAAACAGTTTCAAATCAGATTTTTTCTTATAGGAACAATGTGCTTACCATAGGGAACATGATAGCTGCCACAGTTGATTTTTCATACAGGAACAATGTTTATTACATGTAATATGAATTCTTTATTTATAGATTTAACTAATCCCATGCTCATGACACCCACATTGTCATTCTGTTTATTGATATGCAGATACAAGAAGTTCTGAGACGCATGTTTCCATTTGGTAGGGGGCTCTGCCATGCTTATTGGGCTCCAAATTTCTGGGTGTTGTATATACTTTCAGATAAGATGCTTGCTTTTGTGCTTGCAAAATTGGGATTCCATATCCAAACACCAACTGCTTCATTCACCGGTGGGCTGGTTGGGGACGCGTCTCCTTTTGCCATACTACCTACGGTATAACTTGTGTCTTTGTGCATCTTCAAGCATGTATGAAGAGCTAAGAACCCTAAATATTTTGATCATGAATAATACATAAAATAGTAAATTTATGGTTGTTATTGAACTTTCCTTTAAAGAGGTAAAGGAATTGATTGTGTTATGCAGATCACCCCATCATTAACCTTTGCCATTGTCCTGCTTGCCATATCTCCTTCTCTTGTTAAAGCTTGGAGGAATCCCCAGCCAAAGATGATTATTAGATGGGTGGCATATGCATACTCGTGTGGCTTTTTGTTTGGATGGCACGTGCATGAGAAGGCATCACTTCACTTCTTAGTCCCCCTTGCAGTTGTTGCGGTGGAAAGCATAGAGGACGCACGGCATTACTTCATGTTATCTATAGGTACAGTTTAATACTCTGTAGAAACTTAGAGCATCTCCAACAATTTCTCTATATCTCTGTCCTAGTCTCCACTTTGGATGGAGCAAAAAGATGGGTTAAGAACTCCAAAATCACCATTTTTTATTTAAGTTGCAGTTTTCTTGATCTTGACTGAGATCATTATACTTTTTATGATATAATTATAGTTTCATGCTCAAACTTTAAGTTCTTAAAGCTATTTTTGTATACAGTTTCCAGCTACTCGCTGTTTCCTCTTCTGTACGAAGCTCAAGAATACCCCATAAAAGTGGTCTTACTTCTTTTGCACATTGCTCTAATGTGGTACGGCTTTTCTTCCCAATTTTCCGAGAGGAATGAATCAGACAAGAGAACAGCTTGTGTCTTGATGGTTACGGGATGGATGGAAAAGAGCTATCTGCTTGGTTTTGTGGTGTTGGAGATATGGGGGCAGTTTCTTCATCCGTTTCTTCTTGGTGATAAACTACCATTTTTACCCCTCATGATGATGTCCTTTTACTGTGCATTAGGAATGATGTACTCTTGGATTTGGCAACTTAGATGTATTGTTAGGTCTCAGTGATGATTTAGTGGAATGGAAGTCCATTGTTGTAATCGGATTCATCTGAAATGCCTTGCCTAAAAGCAATCAAAACTCTGAATATCTACTTAATCTTCGATTTCCTGTTATTTTGTAATTTGATTTGGTCGTCATCTATTCTTGTGTTGCATCCGATTTTTTAAGTTGTGGTATGAACTCTTTGAATGATAGAATCTTATTATCATGTAACTTTCAACAACTCACAAACGGATAGAAATGAAGGCGAGAATAGCAAAGTTTTGGGAACTAATAACGCATTTGCGTTGATGGTAGATTATGTTTGGGTTGGTTTGTCAAAAACTTGTCAGATAAGCCTATAAAGGCAAGAGTATCCTTCTCACTTACCTTATCGGTGATATTTTTAACCATCAAAATGGATTATTGATAAATATGAGTGCTTACCGGATAAGAATCTTTTTACCTCACTTTGTCTTTGTTGTGTCCTTTACCATGTAAGATGCTATTGTTATCGTTTTGTAAACGAGTTTCATTTCTATTTATTTTATCTGGTTTTAAAATGCCTTTTATAAGAAAAACCTATTTCTTAATCAGACAAATTTTTCAATTTTAAATGTTTTTTGAAACATATTTAGGGAAATTCATGATGGATGCTATACGGCTGCTTTTCTACAGTTTGAGTTTATCAGACAGGGGGCACACAATTAAACATGGCTAAAACCTTCCTGTAAACCCTAAAGACTGCCGATGATGACGCTTTCAACCCTTGCCTCCACTTATCCATCTCCCAAACTTCGTTCCCGTTCGATTCCCTTTGGTAGAACAACTTCACATCCAATCAAATGCTGTAATTTCTCGACACCCCTCCTTCCGAATAGGAAATTGTGGTTTTCTTCGTTTGGTAGAAGAAGTCTAGGATTCGTTGTAAAATCAACATCCAGTGATGGAGAAGGAGAAGAGGTAAAGAATTCTTCATCAAAGGATGTTATTGATGAGGCTGGAATACATGCGCCAGACGAGAGTACGATGCCCGAAAGGTTTAGGTATTTGACCAAAGAAGTTCCTGAGCCTCCTGTTAGATGGCCTTATTTTATAGGTAAGTTTTTTCATGTCCATATTTCTATCCTCGTGTTTTTGGTTGGAACTGCAATTGTTTGGTTGGAACAACATTGCTTGACACCGATATTCAGGTAGCTATAAGTAGCTGTCTAATCCAACATGGATATTATTCAGGTAGCTATAAGTAGCTGTCTAATCCAACATGGATATAGTTGCTCGTAGTAGCCTACTAGGGTCGATAAGCCACTGGATAATTGCTGCTGATAGCTATGGTGAGCACACGAATAGAGGATGGGGGATATGATGCGGAGTAAGATTCAAAGATGAGGACGCCCCATAACGTTTCGTTTGTAGGATCAATTATGATTCATAAAACCCAATCATCGATAGCCTTATGTGTTATAACGCCTCATTTAGTTTTCAAGGGGTTAAAATAACCTCTATTCCTTTAATTCTTTTCAAGTTACCAGCTTTCAAGGGACATCAACCACTTTTCCCTTGCTAACAACCATTAACAACCAGTGTTGCAACAATTCCTAAATCAATAGGGCCATAAAGACTAGTCCTACTTGCCCTAGAGTCTAGTTAATAGCTTCAAAGATCGGCAGGAAGTCATACAACCTAGCTCTCCTTACTTGATAGGGGGTCAGATAGAGGATCTAGTAAATTTGCTGATGAGCTTTTAAGCAGAAAGAAATTAATCGTCCTACGTAATTGCTCAGCGTAAGGAAGATACCTGGGTGAGGTGGGCCAACACTAATTGAAGAATTCCTCATTGCCAATGATGCTAACCGTACCTCACTGGCAATGATGAAGGGAATAGGAATGGAATCACTACCACTTCTCTTGAGATCTAAGGAAAGCAATAAAGAAAGAGAGAGTTTATATCCTGTATTGATCGTAGGATCGCTCTATTAATAGGTAAATTCTCTATCCCAATAGGCCAGCTGGCGGAATGAGGAGAGGGCCCGACAATCATACCACCCCGCAGTCGTAAAAGCGTGTTCCGTTCAGATAAGACACACCGTAGGCCATCCTCACATATAGCGGATGTAGAACGATACCACAAAGTATTTATTGTTGAAGAACAACAAACGCGCTTCGAGACATATCAAGATTGCTATTGATTGTATAATGTATAATCATTATAGACATTCTCAATAGCCTCTATTAGCTGCATACGCAAAGTAGCAGACTCTAGATTCAAAGGAATTGGTGGATAAATTTTGTGTTATATATGGTAATCCTTCTGRTATCCGAATTAGATCCTAAATTTACTATTTGTGAAAAAAAGAGAAAGGGCTGGTTGTATAATCTCACTCCTGCCCTATTAGTTGATACTTCAAGGAGGTTTTAAAGATAAACTGGTTCACGCAGAATACTAGCTTCTGTCGCTCCTTGCTCGCGGAGCAGCATACCGGAAAAAAGGAACCTTTCTCTCTTTTATCATACACAATATCTCAATTGAAAGGGAATGTAGTTCTTTCATTCAGCATGGTGCAACTTAGACGTTGATGAGCACAATGCAATTCACGTCACAGCCACTTTCTTGAAATATATTTCGATAATTTTATTTTTTAGAAAGATTGTTTGTCCTAAGTTATCAAAGAAACTTCAGACCGCTATGTCAGGCGAGTGTCGAGCAGTAAGCTTGGAGAGGAGAGCAGAGTCGAGGTAAGGTCAGGAAGAGCCTGAGTTACGGAAGCTCCAGATGAAAGGGGTTAAGAGTATTCTCGCTGGTGTTGCCTGTAGGTCGTGATGTGCCTTGAGATGGCCGTCCCCCCCCCCCTGCCCGGTGGGGAATCCGCTCCCTGGTCGTTGCTCTGCTGCTTCTGGTCCGTCCTCTAGGCACCTTTGGAAGGCAGGGAGTGTCAACACCTTTGCCTAAGAAGCAAAGAAGTCAACTTCATAACCTTTTCCATTATCAGTAGCAGCAGTGGACAAACCGTGACGACAAAAATACATTAGGAATCTGCTTATCTACTAGTCATCTTGATCTCTTCTCTTGTCTGTTTTCTTTTTGTTTTTTTTGAATAGGTCTGCCCCACCCAATAATTAGGTGGTGGGACAACGCGAAAAGAGGCCATGCACCAAGATAGCCCAACGGTACCCACTTAGAAATCTGACAGTAGAGCCTGTGGGTAGCCCCGGGTTATATATTGTACGGCGAAACTCGCTAATCGATATCTTCTCAGGGACCAGACATGCATGCACGAAGAAGAACATCTCTCTGGTCATATTCTTGTTGGGCAAGGGACGACCACTCAGTCCAGAAGCTCATGGGTGCTTGATGAGACTCCTTTGAGCCAAACTTTGGAAGGGAAGGCAAGTGCCTTGGCATCCAAAGACTGGTTGCTTAATTGGATCCTCTTTCTACTCATCTTATGAACCAGGAACAATGTCCTAGATAGCTATCTAATCCTGACAATATGAAACCAGTAAAAAATAAGTTAAAATATGTACAACTAGATTCAAGAGTCCAGACCACTTTATACTTCCATCAATTCTCTTTTTGCCCCTCCTGTGACACACCCTTCCCTTGAATGTTTTGTCCATTTGCTGCTCGTCCTGATGTGTTACAATTCAGAAATTAATGAAGAAAGGTAACAGATGATTAAAGGAGAAAGTCGGATGTATGGAATTGAAATGATAAGAAAAGGAAATACAAGAACAAAATATCCAGGGAGAATTCCCTCTCTCCAGCTAACGCTAGGAGCCTCTAACAAATTAGACAAATAACAGAATGCCCTCTCCTTTCCCCCATGTGCCTTTATTTAAAGATTCTCTCTAACCAACCCAATTTAGCCACTTTCCTTTTCTACCCTTTTACCCCTTCTAGAATATACTTTAGTAATACTTGGTTTGGGTAGATTATGACCCATGATAACTGGATCCGTATCAATACTCCGTTCTTCAAAAGAAGTCTTGTCCTCAAGACTTGTGGTAGGAAACTGACTTTTGATCAAAATTGCATCTTCCCAAGTTGCCTCTTCCACGGTCTTATCCTTCCATTGTACCAACCATTGAGTAGTGATATCATCCCGAGAACCCACTATTCGTTCAGCTAGGATCTTCTCCGGTTGTAACATATCCGAAGAGTTATGTTCCAACTCTGGTGGTAAAATCTGTTCCACATCGTCAGCCATGACCGCCTTTTTTAGTAAAGAAACATGGAAAACTGGGTGTATCTTAGAAGAGGTTGGGAGGTCCAACTTATACGCCACCGGTCCCAGGCACTCCAAGATTTTGAAGGGACCAAAAAACCGAGCAGCTAACTTCTGATGAATTCGGGATGCCACGGACATTTGACGGTACGGTTTCAGCTTTACATACACCCATTCCCCTACCATAAAACGGATATCTCTCCTGTTCTTGTCAGCTTGTTCTTTCATCCTTGCTTGAGCCCGATTCAACTGATGTTTTAATTGACGAAGAGCCTCATCTCTATCCCGAAGTTCTTGACCAACGACCTCCACACGTACTTCCCCCGAAACAAATTGAATGACGGTAGGAGGCTTTCGACCATACACTATCTCAAAAGGAGATATTCCCGTGGACTCGTGAAAGGTGGAGTTGTACCAAAAYTCGGCCCACGGAATCCATATAGACCAAGAACGAGGTTGATCAATCGCAAAACACCGAAGGTATGTTTCTAAACAGCGATTGACAACCTCTGTTTGTCCATCCGTTTCCGGATGGTACGCCGAGCTCATACGTAACTGAGTGCCCTGCAGCCGGAAGAGTTCTTGCCAAAAGTGACTTAGAAATAAAGGATCACGATCACTAATAATGGATTTTGGAAGACCGTGATGACGAACTACCTCGCGGACAAAAATATCAGCAACCGATTTGGCCGTGTAAGGATGTTTCAACAAGATGAAATGACCGTATTTCGATAATCGATCCACCACGACTAGAATCGCATCGAACCCTTTGGACTTGGGTAATCCCAATACAAAGTCCATTGAAATATGTTCCCAAACAGCTTCTGGAATATCCAAAGGTTGCAACAGCCCATGGGGTGACGTTAAATTCGCTTTACAGCGYTGACAAATATCACATGAACGTACGAACTGTTGAACGGAAGCTGTCATGCCCGGCCAATACAAGTTAGCCGCCAAGCGACGATATGTCCGATGGTAGCCGGAATGACCCCAGATGCTGTTTTGTGGAACTCCGCTATCAATTCCGGAATGAATTTCGAGGTACGTGCGATTACCAAACGATCTTTGTAAAATAAGACCCCTTGGCGAATCATAAAACCCGGATGTGCCAAAGGGTTTTGTTGTAGAGCCGTACATATACGTCGAATTTCCTCATCCCGTTGAGCCTCGTCGAGGAGTTGAGCTCCTTGTAACCATACGGGATAAGAGGCTAACTCCCGAAGTTCACCCTCATCACTACGGCGAGATAGAGCATCAGCTGCGCGGTTCTCGCKACCGGGTTTGTAACAGATATCAAATTGGTAGCCTAGTAGCTTAGCCACCCAATTTTGCTGATCCGGAGTAGTGACCCGTTGATGAAGTAAAAATTTCAAACTTTTTTGATCCGTGTATACCGTGAAACGAGTGCCTAAAAGATATGCCCSCMAATGTTGGACCGCAAGAACTAAGGCCATGATTTCTCGTTCATACGCGGATTTGGACAAGTTCCGATCACTAAGAGCTTTGCTAAAATAAGCAATTGGTTGTTTTTGCATTAAGACGGCTCCAATACCTGTACCCGAGGCATCGCATTACACCACAAATGGCAACTGAAAATCCGGAAAAACCAAAACCGGAGCCGAGATCAAAGCCAGTTTAAGATCTTCAAAGGCTGTCTGGGCAGCCGCCGTCCATTGAAATGAGTCTTTCTTTGTGAGGTCCGTAAGAGGTTTGGCGATGCTACCGTAATGGCGAACGAATTTACGGTAATACCCGGTGAGGCCGAGAAAACCCCTTAGGCCCTTGAGTTGTTTGGGTACCGGCCATGTAACAATCGCCTCGATTTTCTTTGGATCCATAGCCACCCCCTTGTTGCTAATAATATGCCCTAAATACTCAAGTGATTGTTGACCAAAGGAACACTTTTTTTTTATTAACCACGAAAGAGTGATCTTGTAAAATCTGGAATACGGTACGAAGATCAGTGAGATGTTGAGACCACGAGGGACTATAAACCAAGATATCGTAAAAAAAAAACCACGACACAAGTACGTAACCAAGGGCGGAAAATATCGTTCATCACGGCTTGAAAAGTGGCCGGTGCGTTGGTGAGTCCAAAGGGCATGACCAAGTATTCGTAATGCCCATCGTGGGTGCGAAAAGCAGTTTTATCAATGCTGTCGGGCGTCATACGGATCTGATTGTAACCCGACTTTAAGTCCAATTTTGAAAAAAACTGYGCCCCCTGTAATTCATCAATAAGTTCATCCACTACCGGAATGGGAAATTTATCCGGTACCGTAGCCTTATTTAAGGCACGGTAATCAACACACATGCGCCAGGACTGATCTTTTTTTTTTAAACCAAAATCACGGGACTTGAAAAGGCACTTTTACTTGGTCTGATCATTCCTAAACGTAACAGTTCCCGTACTTGACTCTCGATTTCTGCCTTTTGAATATGCGGATAACGATAAGGACGTACACAAATAGGAGTGGGAGATATAAGGGAAATACGATGATCGTGCGGGCGTTCGGGTGGCAAGCTGGAAGGTTCTTGGAAGATAGCCTCGAAGAGATTGAAAAGAGTGTCTAGATCACTGAATTGRGCCGCTGATAACACCTCATTAACGGTGGTGTGGTGAGCTGACTTTTCTGCTGTTAATAGAGAAGACGATGTGACTAACGACGACAACCACCCTTGTAACAAATACGACGAGACTTGGGTGTCGGTTAAGCCTTTAAGAAAGACCGAAACACCCCGATACATGAATCGCATGGACGGATGGTCCCAATTATGCACTACGTTCCCTAACGTTTTAAGCCATTCGATTCCCAAAACCATATCCAATCGACCCACATCGAACACTAAGGCAGAAATGTCAAAAGCACAATTTCCGACCAAAACCTCTAAATTAGGGCAGCGGTGATCAATGAATACCAGATGATTATCCCCCAATTGGATATTGATAMCCGAAAAACAATGAGTGCTCWATCCCAAAGCTGTCACGACTTTCCGAGAGACGAAATTATGGGTCGCACCACTATYGATTAAAATGACCACTGGAATTCCGCCTATTTGTCCTTCGACTTTTAAGGTAGATCCCCCACCCATAGAATTAGCCGYGGCGGCGAGGAACTCCAAARCATTACACGTACCCGTTGGGAGGTCTGGATTGTCAGGAGGACTGTCCARAGTTAAATCAGCTATYGGAAGATCCGCATCTTCATTTTCCGCCTCCTCATCACCTAGGAGAAGGATATGTAACCTTCCTTCGGGGCATTTATGACCAGGTCCGAACTGTTGACCACATCGGAAGCAAAGCCCTTTTTTCCGACGGTCTTCTCATTCCGTACGGGTGAGTGAACGAACTCCTTTTTGTCGAATACCCCCAAAAGGAATACCCGGCGTACGAGTTGCCCCAGAAGAACGAGACCCAAAACGGACAGCCGATCACCGCTGGGCTCAGAGAATGGGCCTTTAAAGTCTGAGCGGCCCACTGGCGAAGCCCTCCCAGTAAGAGGCGGCCCAGGAGAGAAACCAGGCCCCGGATGATAACGAAAACGGGAAAGGGAGAGATTCCCAGAAGACGGTCGAAGCATTTCCTCGACATCTTTTGCAAGATACATGGCGTCCAATCGGGACTGAGGCCGGTGAAGGCGGACCCACCGTTTAACCTCCTCCCGTAAWCCCGCGATGAAATAGCCCAACRCCTGCGATTYCGGCAATCGGGGAACCAGCGATAACAAATACTCGAAGTCATCGATGTAATCGTGAATAGAGTTTACCTGTTGAATCGTTGCCAACTGTTCATACGGATTCTGAATCACGAGACCGCTAAAACGTTGCAATAATTCGCGAGTGAATTGTTCCCACGAGAGAGGATCGTAGAGTTGATGAACAATCGTGAACCAGTGCTGTGCAACACCCACCATGCTCATTTGAGCCAAACGAATGCGCAGATGGGAAGGAGTCTCATGGATATCGAAATACAGTTCCGCTCGTTTAATCCACCCCTGAGGATCGAAGCCCTGAAATTCCGGCAATTCGACCTTCTTAGCTGCCCACGGTGGGTCGGAATTAGGCAACAGAGATCCCCCAGGTAYGTACGAAGGACYGCCACCCGGAGATTGGCCGGACGGATGCGACGAAAATTCGCCCAAACCCGCYGGAGGGTGAACCGGAGTAGCACCGGCTAAGCCCGAACCCCCAGCAACATCAGAATCAGAGACTTTACCTTGCTGTTTTACCCAAGAGAGAACGAGGGTACGGAATTCCTCCTCCTGAGAACGATCAGCCTCCCATGCGTGCAACGAAGTCTTGATCGATTGAACATCAGCTTGAAGGGGCTGCAGTTGCTCCTCATATTGATCTAATCGCACCTGTTGGGACCGTGTTTCCGGCGGCGGCATGGAAGGAGGCAGGTCGGACCAATGTTACAATTCAGAAATTAATGAAGAAAGGTAACAGATGATTAAGGGAGAAAGTCGGATGTATGGAATTGAAATGATAAGAAAAGGAAATACAWGAACAAAATATCCAGGGAGAATTCCCTCTCTCCAGCTAACGCTAGGAGCCTCTAACAAATTAGACAAATAACAGAATGCCCTCTCCTTTCCCCCATGTGCCTTTATTTAAAGATTCTCTCTAACCAACCCAATTTAGCCACTTTCCTTTTCTACCCTTTTACCCCTTCTAGAATATACTTTAGTAATACTTGGTTTGGGTAGATTATGACCCATGATAACTGGATCCGTATCATGATGTTACTACTTTCATGAGGATAGTGTAGTCCTCAAGTGATAGGGAAGGAAAACAAGTCCAAGAGAGAGTATATCCTCCCAAGAAGCTGCAGCTGGTGAAAGGCCTTCCCTATGAACTAATGTGAAGGTTGATTCATAAAAACATGATACTCCAAGATTAGTTGGGTTGATGGATGAAGTTCACCCTTCGATGTCTGGGTAATAAAGTAGGTTCAATTGAAACGGAATTGCCATGAAAGAGTGTCTTTTAGACAAGAGACATGAAAATCTGAGTGTAACTTAGGATGAAGGTAGTGCTGGTTTATAAGCTACATTCTCAATCATTGAAAGAATTTTAGAAGGTTCATAGTAATGAGAGGAAGTTTACCATATTCGTAGGTTTTTAGCTTAGTTGGCAATAAGGGAGTTCAAGAAGAACCATATCACCAATTTGAAACTCAACCTGTCAATAAGCAACTTTCATGGAGTTTTTGAGGATGAAGATGATTCTTAAGATTCTTCAGCACCAAAGCCCATGTCTATAGATCTTGATGTACTGTTACTATCTATTGGAAAGAATCCTTACTATCAGAATTTTGTACAAGATTCAGTGCTATTTTAACCCCTCTGACCATAATGTTAAGTAAGGATTCTTTCCAATAGATAGAGGCGGCCTAAAACGCCTTTAAGTAACTCGTGGAATCTATGATTAAAACTTTGGTTTTGGCATTGCCATATTTTATCAAGTTGTTTGTATTGGAATAGACGTAATATTCTCCAAACTAGTAAGGCCTTCTAGTGTAAGATATTACTCCCTCCATCCCATGAAAATTGCGGCACATTTTTTGCGATGTCTGGTGAGGATGACAATCTCTTTTTGGAATGTTATGTTTAGATTAGCTATTTGCTTATTATTACTATGAATAAGTTGATTGTATTCATTTGGATGCACGACATTTCTCTATTCTGTCTCTACTATCTATTGAAGGGTATTTTAGTTTTTTTAACAAAGAGTCAAACTATTATTTTAAACTATATGCCAAGTCAAAAAGTTACAATTTTATGGGGTGTGCGTGTTACATGCAGGTAAGAGTTGGGTTATATATCAAAAAGAGCTTGGATTTTCTCAATTGTTTTTATATGTTATGACCATCATAATTGACATTTTTGCTCTCTGTGTTCTTTTAATAAAATCAGCACTGGCGTTCCTCGTGTATGCCTGGAGAACAGTCTTATGGGAACTTGATAACTGGAAAGCGGCTGCAACATCGATACTTAGGTTCCTGGGATACCTCTCAAAACTGGTATTAGCCCTCATTTTCCATTTCATAGGTGATCCACTCACGTCCACAATTAGAGCCATTGAAACTACCTTTTACACCCTTCGAGCATTTTACTCGCAAGTAGTAGCATATACTCCCATTCCCGAGCTTTCAACAGTCATCATGCTCACATCAGCTATACTCGCAATCGGTGAAGTAGCATCTCCAAATTCAGTAGACAACCAATGGCATTTGTTAACAGCCTCTGGCCTAATTGGGTATTTTGCTGTCAAAGGAATGATTGGAGGCCTTCTCTTTTGGACTCTTCTTTTCGGGTTATATTCTTTTTCTCGTTTCATCCAAAAGCGAGATTATGTGTCCTCCGCTTTGCCTGTTGCAGCAGTGCTGGCGGGTGTAGGAGAGCCATGGGTGAGAGTTGTAGTCTTGGGCTGTTTCTCGGCTTTGGGTGTGGTTCAGTACTCCAAGAATCAGCCAGAAGCAGATGAAAGTGGAAGTGAAGGGGTCACCATGAAGGCAGGGGAGCGAAGAGTTCCAGTTCCGTTACTATTGGCAGCATTAGCTATTGGCATCCGTGTTGCCGCTAGATGGGCCGGATATCGGCATTTGACATGGATGGTGGTCTGAAAGGTCTTCATGCGGTTTTGTTCAGTTTTGCCTATGCTATATGTAAATGTATGGAATCCATGTTTTTAGGGCATTTGAGTTTGTGTCATTGGAAAGTGATTATGTTCTTAATCATATTAAATTAGTTCCTACTGGATGCAAAAATTGTTCGGTAAGGTTCTTGTCACCAACTATTTGGATCAAATAGGCGAGTTAATTGCGGTTTGTTTGGTTGGTTTTGGTTTATTGGAGTTCAAGTGTCTATGTCTATGCACAGCGATTTATCTTTTATAAAATAAAGTATACCAAAATCTGATTATTCAAATTATATTTGTAAACTATAATCATATACGCATAGTTTACAACGTAGATACAAGAGAATGAGTGCTAGAAAATTCAACATATGTGCGAATTTCAGAAAAAGTTATTATAGATTTTTCTTGTGTAATTGTGGTTAATTTTTTTGCATTTTTATGGTAATTGTGGTTTATGGGTCAGCTTATGTGTATCGATCAATTCTTTTGGCGACCACAGACGGTTTGCATTCAGGTGAACGGAACTTTCGTGGCTACAATGACTTTGGTAGTGTCCGGATTCGAACAAAGGAAGATGAGATTTCATTATTTTTTTTCACTTTGTATAAGATATAATTAGTTAGTAGTTAAATGCATTAAAATTTTAATGTATTAGCCATGATACCCTTAGGTTATGTATATAATTGCAAGTAAACATTATGTATTAATTTACCATGGTTTCTTGATACCCATAAATTTATGCAATGTTTCTTGTTAGATCGAGCCACACAAATATATGTAATGTTTTTGTTAGATAATAATGTCTCTAACAATTCTAATACACAAAATCAGTCATTAAAGTAAAGGGTTTGAATATATCAAAACTTCTTGATCTATTCCAAATTCATGGCAGATCTTCTACGTAAACGTAAAAAGTTCATTTTACTTGATGTGAAATTATTCGTGAGAAGAAATATCAAATTTATCTGACCCTACTCTTCTATAATATGATTACAACATTCTATCTCCGCATCATTTGGTAAAAGGCTATACGCATGGACGGCAATTTGCTTATAAATTACAAACATAACTATAAAAGAGTGTGAACTGTTTTATGAGTTTGTACCGTTTAATTTGGTAAAAAAGAATGGTTTGAGAGCCTCCTAAGTCATGTTCTTCACAAATTAGGCTATAAGAAACTATTTTATTGGGTTTGCATGACCAGCAATTACGTATTCAACATGTTGCTTCAGTTGTGAAATCACAATCATTTGAAGATGGCTTCCCTTTATGTGATTTTCAAAACTAGGAGGCTAGACAAGATTAAGTGACTAGGATTAATGATAAGAAAGTATGAAGAATATGAACTTAAACTTAAGAATTTAAGAACAAACTCAAGAACAAGAGAGAATATATGGAAGAAGCTTTTTTTCTTTCCAATGATGATTACAAATAAGGAGGAAACCTTCCTTATATAGGCAATGAAAAGGTGCACTTACATAATCATGATGTAAGCATTACAAAAGCAACCAATTATTAGTTCAAAATAAGGTAAGCGCTTACATCACTTAAAGTGACCTAAAGCTTCCACCATTTTAACATCATACTAATACTTAAGGCCTAAGAAATACTTGCACATATTATTTTACAATAAAGCTTCTGGAATATTTTTATTTTATTTTATTTCCAACGTGAATCCGGATGAGATGGTCCGTCTTCATACGAGTCAAAATGCTCTTCATATGGGTCGTAATCGTCATCTTTTTCTTGATATGTGGAGTCATATTTGTCAAAAGTATTTATTTTCTGTGACAAATGAGTTTGAAACCACTGTTGGATAGACTCATTCCACTTCGATGACAGTGGTTGTTCTACAGACCATAAATCTTTGTTTTCCATGACATGTGCTGGAATCGTATGAGGACTTACTTGATTTGCATTGGTGAGAAAACCAGTATTTCCATGTGCATGTGGACTTGATATATTTCAAAGGATTTGCTGAAAGGATGAACGTCATATCAATCATGGATGAAGGCTAAGGGTAATGATAAACTATTGATTGTGTTTGTCCTGTAATTACCGTAGGAGGTAAGAAAGAACAAGGCCTTCTGAACATGATGACTACATAAGTCTTATAGTACGTTGATATCTTTTGGAGCCATTTGTTATAATATGCTAATAAGGATTATGATTAGGAGGACATAAGGATATATGGTGAAATCAGATTCAATGGTCCCTAGAAGAAAATGGAAGGGGAGGTGGGTATAAGTCCTCTACAAAAGATGACTTGAAGGTGGGCTGCCTCAGCTAGAAACAAAGTGATGGGTGGTGGTTAGTGAAGGTGGTGGCTGCCTGGATTTTTTTAGAAAGTAAAATTACGATGGTACCCTTAATTTAACATGGCAAAGGTTAGTGGAATTAGGACAGAGTGACCCAACGCCGTAATCAAAATGAAACCATAATAATTATACATGTACTTATTTTGTTTGAAAGACGCAATCCAAAATTTTAGATAATCACATGGGCGAAATTTGTAATTTACTCTCAACAATATTTAAAGTTCTCTTATACTCTTTGCAACAAATAAAAATAGTTGCATGTCTAAATCCTGATTTTTATGTGAACAAAAGAAGTTTCAACTTTAATTCCCGTGCCCAATTTTAGTTTTCGATCTCTCTTTTTGGTTTTTTTTTTTCATTTAAGAAATATTTTATTTGTAACGACAATAAGCGAATCCGTTGTAGTCTAGTTGGTTAGGATACTTGGCTCTCACCCAAGAGACCCGGGTTCAAGTCCCGGCAACGGAAATTAATGTCTTTTTAGGTAAATTAAAATTTATAATTTATTGTTGTTTTGGTCTCGTAGATTATATTTAATCACAATTATTTTCTCTCTTATCTACCTATACGAATTTCAATTTCAATCCAATCTCAGTTTTTTATCGTTCATTAATGATCCAATCCAATCTAAAATATTTATTTGGAGGAGATTGACAATTTATTTTTCTTTTTAAATATTTTTTTCAAAAAATGTTGTCTTTTTCACAATCTAATTGATGAGATTGTTGATCAAGTTAGTCTTACAATTTGTTACTATTTTGATCTTTTGTATTTAAATGTAAGAATTAGTTTATGGACAAAAATAACAATAAGTTGCAAATAATAGGGACGAAAATTTTAATTTTTAAAGCACAAAGAAAAAATTGAAATTATTAACAAACCACATAGACGAAAATCGTAAATTACTCTAATATTTTGAGTAAATTACACTTTTGATTTCTATGGTTGTCACTCACTATCAAGTCTCGTCCCTCTTTTGAACTAATTATAGTTTTGAGTACTACGATTGGCATTTTGTTTCCCTTTTGTCACTATGGTTGATACTTTGTTTTTGCACCTTTGACTAACTTCCATTACCAAAAAACTCATTAATTTAGAGGTATTTTAGTCTTTTATCGTATCTATAATACCCCAACACCAGTTTCCCTTCCCTTTTCCCCGTGTCCCCTCCTCGCCCCAACGCCTCCTCTTTAGTCGACAACCCCACCCCTCCTTATCTGATCTGAAACCACCATCTAAGAATACCATAAATCAAGATCTAAACCTCCATCGAATCATATTCTCCCACTCCCTTTCACTGTGACTCCCCATATGATTCACCATGGAGATTTGAAATGGATGAATGTTTTTTTGTATACAAATTTAAGAACAATTTAGTTCCAGAAATATAAAAAGGGAAATACATCGATTTCTAGAAAAAAAAACCACCTGCAACAACCTACAAACTCATTTTGGATCGAAATATATTGTGTGAATCATAATCCCTGGTCAATTTTTAGAAAAAAACAACACAAATTTCTTGCTTGTTTTAATTTGGGGAAAGAAACGTATGAATCACAGTCCTTGTCAACACTCCATAGCCCTCCCTAAAACAATAATTTTGTTGTTGTTCATACACAACAAATCTGGTGTTTGAATTCCTCTTATGTGAACTTTTGGTAGCATCTATTGCGCTAAAGAATGGCTTAAATTGGACATGGGCGGAGGCAGAGCATAGGGAGTCTTGGTTAGAGGGGTATGTGCGGTATCATCGTCTGTCATGCAAACTTATTGTAATCTAATTTATATATAATATAGTTAAAAAAATCTTTTAGAAACAAAATGTTGTTGCATGAATAAAATAAAACGAAAGTACAAAAATTTCAAAATTATCATGTGAATATGAAACTTAATATTAAACTTATGTGGATCAATTGTGGGTGAACATGAACTAGGTTCTTCATTATGATGACAGATGAACAACTCAATCCAATATTTATGGTTTGAAAAATTTCATCGCAACCAAATCCAATTCAAAATACAACTCAAACCGTGTGGGTTGTATTGGATTGGGTTGGTTGGATTGAAACTTTATTATAAAATGGTGTGAACCAAAGAGGATATATCAATCAACAACAACCGTTTTTGATGTCTCCAACTTCGATGTTTTCTTTGCCTGAAGTTTAATCATTTAGTCTTCAATTAAGCACAAATCAGACACCACCACTAGATAGAGCTGATTCAAACTTCAAAATATTCATGTTGTTGCTATCCTTGATCAAACAAACAAACAAACAAACAAACAAACAAACAAACACACACACACACACAATATTGTCATTTAAGGGGCTGTTTGGATCATGGGAATTGAAATGAATTGAAATGAATTGGAATGTCCAATCCTTTGACCAAATTCTAAATAAAGTGTTTGGTTCATTAAATAAGACTATGGAATCCTTTCAATTCCAGTCGATTCCTTCACGCACAGATTTTACAATTCCATGGCAATATGCTAGGATTTCAATTCTTTTCCTACAGATTCCTTCCCTAATCCAATTCCATGCAACCAAACGCAATCACAAGGCATGGTCAAATTCCATCAGATTTCATTCAATTCCCTCAAAGTCAAATTCATTTGATGAATTCCAATTCCATCGAATTCCATTCTACGAACCAAACGCCCCCTAAGGGTTTTGACTTTTTTTGGGGTGTGCGCATGGTTGGGTTTGGTTGGTCGGTTTGAAGACATTTAAACAACTCAACCTAATGTTTGCAATTTATAAAATCTCAATCTATTTGGGCTGGATTGGGTTGGCCGATTTTTTATGCACCACTGTGTGCAACACCAAATTTGTTGTTTTACGATTCACTGCATCATTTTTGGTGTTAAACATGATGTGTCCATTTACGCACTAGTTAACATGAATATAACATTAAAAGTGATGAAGAGATGTGGAGGTTCAAACAAGAACAATGTCAACTTACGAGAGAAGGCGAGAACGCATATGTCACAACCATATGGTTTTAAGGAACAGTCAGACCTTTGAGGTTGTCGGGCTAAGCATGCGTGCACGTAACCCTTGGATTAACCGTTTCTTAATCACATGTGATTTTTAATAATAAATAAGTTGATCATATTCTCGTTTAAACATGCCTCAATAACAGATGCGCTAATAAAACAACTAATAAAGATCATCAAGATTATGATTTTTATCTTTAATTATTTGATTTGTTTTTTTAAGAGGAGTTAATTCTCCTATTATTATATTTTTTGTTTTTATTCTTATAATATAAACATAATTATGTTTTCTTATATAAAATTAAACACATTTAATATTGATAGAATATATTTTTAACAAGATTACGATTTAAAATCATAAATAAATAAAAGATTTTTATGAAACCCCGTACATACGATCATATAACATGCCTGACCATTTTTTATTTTGAAAATTAACCAAAATAGTCGACCTTTCCAACTAAATTTACTTTTTAGTTGCTTATAAAACGGAATTTCCATTTTAACCATTGCTTATGCAAATAGCTTATGCATTTGTGTAAAACCTATTTTCCAACGGATGTAGTTAAAAAAGTGATTATAACCACTTTTTATAAATAACATATAAAATATATAAAAGGTAAACTACAAATTTGGTCATTTGCATAAAGACAAAACACATAAGACAAAAAAGATAAAAAGACATAAATTTCTGTTATTTAACAAAGTCCTTGAGCAGATATCGTTTTCAAAGCAAAATGTAAACAATAAGAACGATAGATATAGTTATTGAAGTCTAGGGATCAAAATTGTAGTTCACCTTACAAAAAATAAAGTATATATTTAAAAAAAAATATTATCTTTTAAAAGATAATTATTCTTTTTTAGAAAATTAAATAAAAAATTATTCTCTTCTAAAAAAAGTCTTGATATAAAATAAAATACTACTTTATGTTAATTTTTAAGAAAATTAAAGATTTTGAACAAAATAAAATATTACTTTATGTTATTTTTTGTAACAAATCGTTGAATGATTGAAGCGTTTTTACATTTTATAATGATTGTTTCTTTTTCTAAAATAATTTGATTGAAGACAACACCTGAAACGAAACATGCGTATGATGTATAGGAGAAAAGTACGGTGTGCCATTTATCCACAACTACCCCTCAATAAGCCATCGATGTATCCAGAAAGCAGGAGCCAAGCTCAAATTCCCTTTCAACTGTCATAACAGAACACTTCCATTTCATCAGATGAAGCTTTTCTCCTATCTCAACAAAGCTTTTAATGGCTTCCCCTCTTCCTCCAAGCTTCTCCTTGTCTTCTCTCTCAGGTTCTTCTTCCCTTTCGCTATTTTCTATGTTGCCTCCTATTAATTACACTGTCAAATTAGGGGTTCTTTTGTGTATCTGCTCACTTTCTTTGCCTCCATCTTACAACTAGTTTCAAACTCTTCACACCGACATTGCGCTTGGGAAAATCTAAAATATATTTGTGGTCTCTGATATGTTTAAAACATTAAGATCTGAATTTACCGGCTGGGATGATCATCTGGTTTTGATTTCCGATTCTGCTTATTGTCGAGTGCTTATGTTTCACTTGATTATCTGTAATGAAAACACTGTACATCTCACTACGTCGGGTTATGATAATATTTTGTACAATAATAGTGCTCCAAGTAGTAGATCAGATTAGGGCTTCTACCTGTTGGAAACTCAATTACATATAACTGCTTCTTTTATTTTACTTAATAACCACAGAAACGATTACAACAAACAGATCCCTTATGTACAAACCGGAAAGACACAAATGAAAGGTCACAACCTTTCACAAAAGACACCTTGACAGTTAACTATAACTGTCAACCATAAAACAGAAAATAACTAACATAACTGTCACTAACAGAAGTTACAGTTAATGACAGAAACAGATAAATAGCAACCATTCTAAGCTTAAATTCAACACTACCGACCAAATGCTGGACCGACTGAAGTATTCATGTCTTATTATCTCACTCAAATTCGCTTCTTTTCATAAATTAACTTTAAATGATCTGAGAGTCTACACATATGTTTACAATTTAAAATGCAATGGTGCATTCTTGAACAATATGGAAGTATTGAAATTTTGTTTTGGTGGAGAACAAAACTATGTTAAAACCTGTAAGAGGCATATAAAAAATCGAATATGCACTATGTTGGAGCTTATACATGTGTTTTACCAGCAACCTTCATTGTTTAATTCCAGAAATTAGTTAACCTCTTTGTACGGGCAACTTCTGATAGAGCTCTCAAATTCGTTCATATTGATTATTTTTGGAGCAACAAGTGATGTTACTCGTTTATGAGCCCGAGTCATGTAATCATGTAGTCATGTGTTCTGCAATTTCTAATTTTACTCTTTTCATGTGATTATCTTTCTATGTTGGTCTCTGCAGTGGTGGGGGTCTTGTTGCTTACTCAGAATCACAATCAACCAGTGCCACAAACAACACAGAACTCGAACGATTAGCAAATAAGAAAAAAGTGGTTGTCCTTGGAACAGGATGGGCTAGTGCGAGCTTCCTCAAGGACTTGGATATTTCTTCATATGATGTTCGGGTGGTTTCTCCACGAAACTATTTTGCTTTCACCCCATTGTTACCTAGTGTTACATGCGGAACAGTCGAGGCACGGAGCATCGTGGAGCCAATTCGTAACATCGTTAAAAAGGTGATAATATTTCTTAAAGTAGAAACCATCAAGGGTTTTCATGGCATTGTCTTCTTCTTACTTCAACATGAATTTCAAGTGGTTTTTTCTTCATGTTCTGAAAGAACAAATGATTCTCTTCTTCTTGATAGAAAAATGGAGAAATTCAATTTTGGGAAGCAGAATGCACCAAGATTGATGCAGCAAAGAAGAAAGTTTTTTGTCGCTCCAGTATTGAAGCAAACTTGGTGGGAAAGAAAGAGTTTTCTCTGGACTATGACTATTTGGTTATTGCAACAGGTGCAGAAGTAAATACCTTCAATACCCCTGGCGTCGTGGAGTATTGCCATTTTCTCAAGGTAGCAATCTTTCTAGTATATAGCAGTGGCTGACTAATGCAATATTGAATGGAGGTACAGGCTACCTTGAGTCTATTTGTTTGTAGAAGACCAATAGTGTGTTCCCATCTTATTAAAAACTCAAATGCTCCCTTACACTGTATGACAATCTTGTAAATGTATCAATTGTCAATAGTTCAGATATTTAATGTTAACCTTCTCTAATCATTTTCCTAGCCTTCTTTTTCTTTTAAGCGAAACTTTTAGAAGCTATTTAGGTGCACCATGGCTGTGTAGGAGAAACAAAAGTATATATCTTTTGCTAAATTTATTTCGATGTTTTGTGTATTCCTTTACTAAAAAATGCCATGAACTACAAAGCAGGAAGTTGAAGATGCTCAAAAGATCCGTGCAAGTGTAATAGATTGTTTTGAAAAAGCTATCCTGCCAGAGTTAACCGAAGAAGAACGGAGAATAAACCTCCACTTTGTAATAGTAGGAGGGGGGCCAACTGGAGTAGAATTTGCAGCAGAGCTACATGACTTTGTCTATGAAGATTTAGTCAAATTGTATCCCATGGTTCGGGATCTGGTTAGCATAACAGTCATCCAATCTGGTGATCATATTTTGAACACGTAAGCATGCAACACATCTTTCATTTCATTTACATTTTTTAACATGGTTTTTCCAATTGAAAAAATATTTTGAATTGTCCATCATCTTTCTTCCTCCTCGAATCAGATCTGTGCAAAACTTAATACTCCAGTTCTATTTTTATGTTTCGTAGGTATGACAGTAGAATCAGCTCATTTGCTGAAACAAAATTTGCTAGGGATGGTATTGATGTATGTACTGGATGTCGAGTTTTGAGTGTAACAGATAAAAACGTTAACATGAAAATTAAGTCTACTGGTGAATATGTTCCTGTACCTCATGGAATGGTTGTTTGGTCAACTGGTGTTACGACGCGGCCGGTTGTGAAGGACTTCATGGAACAAATTGGCCAGGTTTGCTACAACAGATCTCCTTTACTCGTCTGATCGTCTATACTCTTATTGTGATACAGTGATACTCTGAAATTTAATGCTTTTCATTGAGCTAATTAAATTTCTCTAAAGGAGTCAATGCTATTAACTTGTATGGCCATTAGTGCTTTATTATCTGGCATGCAGGGAAAAAGACGGGTTTTAGCGACTGATGAATGGTTGCGAGTAAAGGGATATGAAGATGTTTATGCTATCGGTGATTGTGCCACCATTGATCAGCGTAAAGTCATGGTATTTTCCTTTTCTTTTCTATACTTTTAGTTGGCTGCAATGCCCTGTACCAACTGGCAAATAAAGACTAGGCCTCGGGGCTCCTCAGGCCAGTGTAGATTTTCCTGGTTGTTATCTTCAAGGCCTCATGAGATTAGTCGAGGTACATGCAAGGTGGCCCAGACACCCATGGTTACAAAAAAAACACCGTGTAGTATTCCTTGTGTTATATATAATATATATATAGTGTTATATTTGTGTCCCATGCCATCTCTTGTAGGAAGATATTGCTGCTATATTCAAGGCAGCTGACAAGAATAACTCTGGCACCCTGAATGTGGAAGAATTTCAAGATATGATTGATGACATACTCATTCGTTATCCCCAAGTTGATCTCCATTTGCAGAGCGAGCATCTTTCCAGTGTGACCGACCTTTTAAAAGATCCGGAGGGAAATGCTAGGAAGGAAATTGACATTGAAGGATTCAAATTAGCTCTTTCTCACGTAGATTCCCAGTTGAAAAGTCTCCCTGCAACAGCTCAGGTACTATATTTATTTTAAGCAAAATAGCTAAAAGGGATCACTTTTCAGTTTGGCCTTCATTTTACTGTCAATTACTATTTTTGTCAAAGGTTGCTGCCCAACAAGGTGCATATCTGTCAAGGTGCTTTAACAGGAGGGAGTTATGCAAGACTCAACCAGAAGGTCCTCGCCGGTTCCAGGGTCAAGGGCGTCATGAATTCATGCCCTTTAGGTACCCTTTGGCACCGATTTGTTTTTATGAAACTTGAGGTAGTACCCTTTTGGCTTTTGCTGTGAGGCCATGGGCCTTCATTTATCTGATGTGAGAAGAATCGTGCCCACAAAATAAACAAATTAGAACGGACATAAATGGTGTAAACTTCTAGTTCTCTATGTTGACTCTCTTAACATTTTTGTTTTAAATCGATCAAGGTATAAGCATTTTGGGCAGTTTGCACCTTTAGGTGGAGAGCAGGCAGCAGCTGAACTGCCCGGAGATTGGGTTTCTGTGGGTCGTAGCACGCAATGGCTCTGGTATTCTGTTTATGCTAGGTAACCAACTTCCTGTTCTCAACTTATATCTTCTGTTATATCTTATTGGTATGATTTCTATTTTGAGACCTACAAAAGATGAACAAAATTAATAGTTTCATTTCCATTATTCGATTTATAATTTTCTTTCCAAATTCAGCAAACAAGTAAGCTGGCGAACAAGGGTGCTAGTTGTATTTGACTGGACGAGGAGATTCATTTTCGGTCGAGATTCGAGTGGAATTTGAATCATGTTGGCTTGGTTTTAGTTTCATCAGTGTTGTTTGATGCAAAATGAATCCCCAAATATACATGTGACAACCTTCCTGCAAAGCCAAAATGTTTCGAGGCATCTTTGATGTTTTGTTGCGAAAATTATCTAATCAGGATCCAGCTTAAAATACGATGTTTACTTATGTTTCGTTTGGTAATATTTAATTTTCAAATGTTATGTTTGCATCTATATTAATTTAACGGTATTGTGATTTTTAGATCATCGCCAACAATTTATGAGAATCTGGTCCCCTTCAATTAACTTTTTTGTGTTTTGTTTTCTCGGTTGCGGGTTTTAAAATCGGTAAACCACAAGGGTGGTGTCTGATTGGTTTGAGCTTGACTCTAAAGGTCAAAAGTACCAGGAGGAATAAAAATCCCTTTGTGGCCACGGAGGTTCAAATGCAATGACTCCGGGCTATCTACAAAAGCAGGTGGTCGCCCTGAGATTAATCGGCTCGTATAGCGGGTTGTATATCCAGGTTAATAAAAAAAGGTATTTTACGATCGTTCATATTTCCAGAAAATCTTAATCATTTTACAAATCGTGTAAAAGCTACTTATGGAATTGTAAACTTGATTTGGGTGTTTCGTGATTACATAAAAAAACGAGTAATGAAACATAAAATTCATTCTCGTTTTCATAAATCCAAACCATTTGTAACACCATTATTTATCCGATTTAGAGATTTGAAAAACATAAATGAAACAAGTTCACTTGCAAAAAAGTTGGTGCAGCAGTGAAAAACACAAATGAAACGAGTTCATCTTCAAGAGCTCCTATCCCACATCGGGATGAGTGGATCTCGTTCATAAACTCCATATGGGTGAAGATTGTCATCGGGCTTGGTAACTTGAGCCTATAACTCGAGTGAGGGAACCAAGGTGGTTGGATTCTGATTGACCAAGTGACTCTAGATTGGTTGGATTCAGTGGTTGCAAAATCTGGCTTGTCTGGTGCTTTATTCGCCCAAATAATCAGCTATAGTCTCCTAATGAACACTCATCTTTTTATTTATTTTCATAAACGAAAATTTTTAAATGGATACTAAAACGTATATACGATCGTGTTACGTGTGCTCATTTTCCAAATGTACAAAAGAATCGACTTAAGATATCTATTTTTAAATGTGTATCAATAATAAACTTATATGTTCTTTTATCAACTTCTTTAATTGAAATTATGCGAGTAATAGCATCTTTTTCAGAGTAACTCAAGAATCCAAAAAGGTAAGATTATCTTCTTGTTTGTCTTCATCTTTTTTGACGAGCGATCCCTCCAAGTTGCAATGTCTACTTGTGCTTAGAAATTTGTTTTCTAAAATAAATTGTCGTCATGGAGAATGATGTTTTTTGTAAGAGCTTTGGTGCTCTGTTCAATGTGTTGTAGTTGACCGTAACGTCTTTCTTAGGATAAAACTTTTTGCTCGATTGTTGTTCGTAGATTAATCTATATATCTCTGTATTATACATTTTGGTTCTTTAGCTCAAGAACACGTACAAAATGACAAAACTAGAAGAAGATAACAGTTCTTTTTGTTGTCTAGGTTAAAAGTTATATTACAAATTCGGAGAATAACGGCCACAGGTAATCAACCATAACAATTAGTGCTTTTATTGAGTTTGTTCTTTTTCCTAACAAAGCAATAATAAAAGAAACAACTAAAAACGTTTCAATAACGATTACACAAAGTGCAACCCTTAACCTTTGGTTTATCGACTCTTTAGCACAAGTTTTACATATTTTCATTTTCATCATTTGATATCAAGAATACTCTCGTTCTTGTTTTCTGCTAGACGAAGTTTACATTACAAGCATTAGGGTTTTGAAACCGAGGGTCTTTCCTTCAAGTTGTTCATTAGTAGAAATATAGTTATTCTGATCTCACTCTACTTTAAGTGGGCATGCTCTAATACTTGTAGAAAGTTTTTGTTGTATAAAGCACTCGTAACTTCCAGTTAAAAATGATTATTTGCAGGTTTGGACAAGCTATTTTTTGTCCATCGGCGATAATGTGGCAAATCCAGAACCTCTTTTTGTGGGTTGATAACTTTTCTTATATCTTATAAGTGGACCAGGTTTGCCTATAGGATAGTGTTGTGTAGGGATTATATTCAGGTAGTGTGCCAATTTATAAGATCCATTCTGGTTCACAAATCATGTTTAATTAAGGCTTAATATATAAATATCAGGGCATAGCCAAAACTTAAATTCAAAGGGGCTTAAAGAATTCAGATTTAACATGTCGATTGAACTTATTCAAATAACATGTTAACATGAGTATATGATTAATGTTATTTTTCGTGAGATTTTAAGAGGAAGTTTGTTTGGTAGATGGAAAAACAAACAAAAACTATGAATATTATGACTTTTATTTGTAAAATGTTGGAAGAGAGAATTTTTTTATATTATAATGTTATTTGAAGTCAAAAACTTATTTTTTCATTAAGTGAACCACTATTTTCACTAATTTATTAATATATCATAAATGACGTGAATATAAATATAAATATTATATAATATTAGAAGGGTACTCGTGCAATGCATCAAGACATATTTTTATTTCAATATTTCGTTTTATTTTTTATCCATGTCGATATAATACGATTTTATGTGGTTTTGAGAAAGCGATAATGTTTTTATTATTGAATAGAATATAAATTTGAAAAAATCATATAAAATTTACAAAAAATATATCAATATTAGTATCAAATTATCTAATTAAAAGTTATTGTTTATTTTTTTTTAATTCAAATTTTTTATTATAATTTAATTTAACATAACGAAATAACTTAATTTAGGTTTAATAATATTTTTTATAAAGATAATAATTAAGTATTATGTTAGAACCCAATAATTATATTTTAAATTTTTATATTTTAAAATGAGATGTTTATCCTCTATTTGATTATGTTTATCCGCAGTTAATTACACGAATTCAAACATAGAGTTTTAATAAGTTGTACTTATGCACAATTTACTTGTAATCTTGAATTTTAAGTAATATGCATTAATAGACAATACTTTATGCATAAAAAAATATTTTTAAGAGTTTTTGTCAAATGCTTTATAATATAATATAGATATATGGGTGAACATAGACTTCATAAATCGGGACAAAAACTAACCTTATGAAAAGAGTAAACTCTAATTTTGGTCCTTGAAATTTAGTAAAAGATCTGAAAATAGGACTTGAACTTTGAAAAGCCTAAAATCGTTATTGTGGTTTTCATCTTGCTCTCAAAGTGGTTCTTTGTAACACCCCAAGATCATATTTGTATATAACATGTTTAACCTCCTTTGATTAGTGATAATATATCATTTATTTTTTTATTGTTGAAGTTTTGCCCCTCAACGTCAGTAAGACTGATAGAACACTGTTAAAAATAAATTCAAAAACTAAATGTTAGATACTATACAAAATTAATCTAAAAAAAATTAAAATATATAGTGTTAAACTTGATACTAGACAAAAAATAGATTTTTAAGTTAAATTAAAAATATGACGAATTTTTACCGGTTGCTCCATGGTGGTAGGTGACGGCACACGGTGGTAGGAGGTGTGTTTCTATAGGCTCTAGTGGTGGATGTCGGTGGGGATGATGATAGTGGTCCTCTCCGACTGCCTATTTATATAAACCGTTACGTAATATGATAAAATAGATCGTCAAATAGTCGTCAAATCGCCGTAAAATCATATGCCACTAAATGACAAAATAGCGTTCAAAGTAGGTGGTTATAAAAATATGACTTTTTTCAGATATAATATCTGATTTTTATCCTCCCATAATCAAATACAAATAATTTTTTTCGTATCAACAATTATTAAAAAATATTAACATTAAGTGATTATAAAAAATATAATTTTTATAAGAAAATATAAAAACATTCACTGGTTCATTTATGCTTTTAAAAGAAGTAGTAAAAATTATAAACCTTGATGCGATTTCATATTGTGTTAAGGATTGTGATGGTAAATAGTGTTTAAGGGTTACGAGGTGTGAGAGTAGAAGTGTTTGATTTTATAGAATAAAACCACAACATTTGGTTCTAAAACAGTCAAAAAACCAGTCAAAATCGTCCCTGTTTACTGAAAAGCACCTTTTAATTGTCAAATCGATTTTCTCACTAGAATACAAATTAGTATTCAAACTTGTAAGCCAGATCACCCCCAGGGGAAGATCCTAGGATAGGTGGGGGCGATCCCCCTATTTAAGATAAATCATATATTTGTCCCCTAAATCAAATACATGTGAGCCCTCAAATCAATTAATTTTTTTTTGTATTTTTTTGAGTCAAAAAATGTTGGATTGCCCCCTATGGTCAACATGTCCTCCATAAGCGATCTGTGTGGTTATTTTGTGAAAAACTTGAAAAAATAATTATTTTATTAATATATTAGGTATTTTTTAATTATTTTGATGAAAAACCCTTTTAATAATCAAAAGAATTTAATTACTGAAAACTAAAAATAAATAATACTGACATTTAAATAAAAACAAAATAAATAAACTAGGACAAAGAGGGGCCAAAAGATTTGATACCTTGTCCTCCTAAACCAAATTTTGCCCCATCAACTTTCCACTAACATTTTTTAAAACAAAATTCTATTTTTATTTTCAAAAACTTTTTCATCAATTATATTGCAATCTGCCCCGTCTACTTAAAATATCTTATAAAAATCCCTCATTTAATTTGTCGTTTAAAGTTCACATCATATTTTTCGAAAACAAAAATTACCTAACATAAAAACATGAGTTTGTTAAAAAAAAAATGAAAGATGATTAACATATTACATGATTTTTATATTCTTTTTAAGTATTCGATATTGACGTCATTTTGATTATATTGATGAAACCTTTTTAATAATGTATTTTATGATAAAAGATATTTGGTTTTATTATAGATATTTTATGAATTAGATTAATTATAAAAAAAATATGACGAGGTAAGATGAAAATATGATGAAAGAAGGTCGAAAATGTAATTAGAAAAAGTTGTATGCCAACTGGTTGGTATATACCAACGCTTTCATCAAAAAATGTTTTATCCAATGCATAAAAAGCTTTTCTATAACTTTTTATGTATCGGATAAAACACTTTTTGATGAATGATAATTACTATGCAAATTGCTATATGTCTACTTCCATTGTGATCATAGTATCACAATGTGGAGATATACCTAACAATATACACCATATTGTTTGTGTTTTTT